TAACTGAATGGACTCAAAACAAACATGCCCGATATTTTCACAGAAAAAAAGTGTGTTCAACGCATGGAGAAGAGAGTACCTTGCTTACTTCCAGTACGGCGTAAAAGTTGACTTTACCTTGCAAATTCAATTAAAATCGAACCAAAAAGAAGCAGACAAGTGAATAATTTTGCATTGTTTCGACAACAATCTTCATAAATATTCCTCCATCGGCTTTCGTTCTACAGATATATATGCTCCTTCTTCGATATGCCCATGACATTAAATAAACTTTGCTTCTTGTGTTACAGAGTGTCAACCATCAAAGAGTAATTAATATTAACTCTGTTGCAAGTACGTTAGGATCTGATACGTGTCATGATTTACAGGCGTTTTCAGACCTAGTAGCAAGATTCACTTTCCCCTTTCCTAACGAACGTATCAGAAATTAATAACGGTTACATAAGCACCATTTTAACTACAGTTTATATATTATTATATAAACTAACACAATATTGTGTATATTAGGTTTTATATAAAATGCTCACGAAAATAATTATTCATATTTTCAGAAGATAACGTTTATATAAAATTTACATAATTGAGGAAGGGTTTTTATAAATTTTCTTCATACGCATAGTATCCTTTTGCTTAATTTGCTTATTATAATTGTTATATAAATGATCTGAATGACCTTCACGTAAACCTATCTCATTTTCATCAGTTAAGGATAGCAACTATTCTACATAACGGATGTAAAGTTTTTTAGTTTACATTGTTAATGAGTCTTTTATATATTACTCTATATAATTGTTATATAAAATATTTTTTAAAACACTGTTAAAACTTTCGAGCGCTAGTGTTTGGCGTGTTATGGCAGACAAAATTGTTTGCACGATTTATATATACATAAGTACGGGTGGTTGCAAACACACTCTGTTTTTTTAACACGAGCCACCTATAAAAAATGCGGGTAAAATAAACACTACGGCAGTTTGTTCTAGACACTGCAGTCTGCGTATCTCTTTGAATCGAAAAGTGAGCAAGTTTCTACCACTGGTGTGTTTCGGTGAATCAAAACTTTTCGACCAGGGTGCTCCGGGTATCCACTTGGAGTGTTTAAATAAACACCCTCGACTCTCGGACTGCGTGGGATAGGTATTATTAGAGGTATTAGTGGCTCCGAGACGAGTTATAAGGGGATAATTCGGCGAACCTGCCGAGGAGCTCCGTTACCTCAGTTGGTAGCGTGTCTGGCTCATAACCCTGGCGACGCGGGTTCAAATCTTCACAGGACCACGAAGATTTTACGCTGAATTGGTGAGTCAATTAATTTGTATTTAATATGTGACATGACATGTCTCTTGTGTCTAATTAATCTGTGTAACATCTGAATGCGAAGGTTATATCCGAAAAATAAATGTGTGATGTATCTTCAGAAAACTTGTACACCTCACGACTAGAGGGCACTACCAAGTAAAAAACTTGCACACTTCATAACTAGAGTGCGCTGTTACCACCTAAAAAAACTTGCACACTTCATAACTAGAGTGCGCTACCAACCAGGAAAAATGATGAAAATTCATTTTATACACTATTTGAATTTGGTTATAAACTTTTATAATAAGGGTTACATAAAAAGCTTATTAAAAATGTAAACTTTTAACTAAAAAACTTTACACCCATTATATAAACAATGAATTTTCTTTAGCTTGTGGTTATTTACGGTTTATACTTTTTAAAAAATGTTTATACAATAACTCTGATACTAGGGAGGTTGTGACACAAACATTTCTTTCTTGCAGCATGGCGAAAATCTGTATTGTTAAATCTTGAGGAAAATCAACAGTCTGTTCCAAGTTTCAACTGCCTTGATCAATCTAAAACTGTGTAGAATGATCGCTTACCTAGAGGATCTTGTATGTTGTATATACTATTCTTCAAAAAAAATCTGATTACTATCCTTCAACTGCTACGGTTCGAGCTTTTCTCAGGAATATATGGTGCAACAGCAGCATTAGGGCTCAGTAGCATGGGTTTAAGCTTGCTACATCCTTGTAGAGGCTCACTGGTGAACCATACATAAAAACGAGTAAATCATCAATGCTTCATTAGGAACATTGCTCACATATACTACGTTCACCTTAAAATACCACCAACAAAGGAGCATGGGTGGACATCTCTCCGTAACAGAGCAATGGATATCGACTGAATCTCTTGAAGAATGAGGCCAAAAGCCCTCAATAACTTAAAGAAAGCAGGAGTGAAATCAACTTTTTCAGGGGGGGGGGGACTTTGACAGCTATTTAGCACCCCTCCCAGATTAGTGTGAGCCTCTCAGTGACAAGCTCTGAACGTCGCCTTTCAAAGGGGATTTTTCGAGTTCATTCAACTTTTTTCGATATTATTTTTTTTTCTTGGAGGGGGGGGGGAAGAGTGTGCTTCCTCCTCCCTTTCACCTCCCATAAGAGGTCACACAGATGTACTCTCTGAACAAACACTATTTGTTTTCATTTTGCTGTCTATTTTTCCGTTTAACTTTTCTACAAGGAGGCAGCCAATCTTGACGGTTTTTGTAGGGTGGGTACTCTGGGGGACCCCTCACCCCACGAGGAGTAAAACTGCCCCTAAAATGAAAAAAAAAAATGCTAAATCATTGTTGGGAGTAACAATTTTAGGATATTACCAACCTTCTCCGCGTTATTGGCGAGAAATAGTTGCGAAACAGTAATTTGGGAAAATGAGATATTTTAACATAAGCTCCCCCCCCCCATTTTGGGATTGCCGCCGGTCATGGCTGAAGTTACTCATAACAGTTTTGGGATAAAATTTCACGAACTTTCAGAATGGTTAGTTGGAGCTTTGCTCTAAAATCAAGCCGTTTCCAGAAAAACGGGAAAATTCGGGGTAAGTCGAAATTCTGAGGGAATATAGGGTTTGGGGGGCTTACCTCCCCACCCCCCCCCCCGGATAGGATTCGCTTAAAAAAACATAATTTTATTCTACTAGTCTAGAGCTTCAAGAAAATCACCATTTTACAAATTCTCACCGGGTAGGGAAGGGGGGTGTTGGGTTACCCCATGCTGGCTCACGGTCTAGCAGGACCTCGCCCCTCTCCCTCCTCATATTAATTACGTAAGAGTACTTCATTTATACCGCTTTTTCACGACGAAACTTTATTGACAGAGAAAATTTTTCGATTTTTGCCGCCGTTTTCGAGATAGTTTGAAAATACCCGATTTTTGTTGCTATTTTCCAAAATTTTGGCGGGAGAGCGCAAGTGGCTCCCAGTGGTTTCTAAATAAGGAGGGCCTAAGGTCATTTTAAGACCAAAATCACGTTGGTAGCCAGAAACCGCATATAATCGTGCATTTTTGGGCTAAGCGACCGCACTTATAGACGAAAATTGCCACAACCAGCCACCATTTTTATGCAGCTAGAGCCATTAAGGTGATTCGATGGACGCCATATTTTGTGTCAGAACGACATGCGATATACTGCATCGATTGGCTCCATTTTTTTAGCAACTCAATATTTTTCTCAAATTTTGAGATCGCAATTCTGTCGTCAGGAGACAAAAGAATTCACAAATCAATTTTGACAAACAAATTTAACGTAATAAAGGCGTGGTTTTTTTCGAGGAAAAATATTGCATTCAATACTGATATTGAAACTGCATTCTAATGCGATATTTTTCCTCTAAAAAAATCACGCCTTTATTACGTTAAATTCGTTTGTCAAAATTGATGAGTGAATTTTTTAGTCTCCTGACGACAGAATTCCGATCTCAAAATTCGAGGAAAATTATGAGTAGCTAAAAAAAATGGAGCCAATCGATGCGCTATATTGTGTGTCATTCTGACACAAAATATGGCGTCCCTTGAATCACCCTTACTCTTTATCAACAGTGTCTTATCAATTCAAAAAAAGCAAAGGAAAAAAATAAGTAGGTTAATTTGTTTCTTAATGTTTTGGTTTCATATGCTGTAATGTGTGCCAAAATATGTTCCATAGAGCAAAGGAGAGGGAGAAAACAGAAGCAGTTTAGAATAGCAGCCACTGCAAAAAAAGTTAACATTGAGGAGTGGTGGCAATCGGTACTGAATAATTCAGGAAATTCATGAGTTATGGGTGTCTAAGCTACTTAAACGGCCTTTAAGAATATCATAAGTTCCCCTATTCTGCCGTTCTAAGGAAAAACACGGTATGCGCCAACATTTTTTTTTTTTTTTTGAGTTCGACGTGAAATTATACTAATTGAAGCATGCTCTGTTCAAAGGTGAAGTCAAAAAAGTCTTATCTTTATTGGTTTCAGAGATATGGGGGAGGGCGCCTGCCGTACGTCCCTCATAGAGGCGAGGTTGTGACGATAGACTGCCATACGTCCAGGAAACTCGGGACGCGGGTGGCACTCAAGGCGTTTTTTCCCACGCTTTGCGGACAAACGGCACTTACCCTGTGCAGCCGGACTCATGGCGATGTTGAGACGTCGACCACCCCTACCACCAACCCTTTTATCCGATTTCAGAGTTCCAATTATCCATTCGCTGATTAATTGTGATCAGTTATGCTGTTTATCATCTGCTGGTAGCATGTGATCTGTTTACGGGTAGACACGCATTCTCCTTTCTTTATTATTTGCGTTCAAAATGTTTCTGGGTACAAGTTTTAACCTATTCTTTTCAGAATTAAAAACTTAGGTTTTTCCCGTGAAATTATTACAGAATATTATCTTATGTTTGAAGACGATTAATGGAAAATCGCGAAATGAGGTGATACAAAAATTAGTGACCTTACAGGTAAACTCCGACAGCAGTTCAGATACGCGGTCACAAGTTGGGTTTGCGGTGGCAGCTGTTCTAAACTATAGCCAAAAAACTTCCAAAAAAGCTGCATGTCCCCTCCCTTCTTTTTAACTTAGCGTCTTAAGCTGGTTGAGTGTTTTTTGGAGTTAGCTAAGTAATGAAAAACACCCTAACAATCATTCTGGAAACTAAAAGTAAGAGAAAAAAAGAAAAAAATTCAAGTCAAATTCACAAACCGGAATGATATGTGATGATGCCCTTGTGAAGTAATACTAGTGAGTCTAAGTCGCAACTAAGTTTCAGGATAAAAGATAAAAATAAATGATAAAAAATTTGCAACTTGCTAGTGACCTCTTAAACATCTACTGGCTTTCTGGTAGAAACAGTAAAGAGCTTTATTCTTTAAAAAGTCCTCATAACCTTAAAATATACTTGTACCAGATGAAGGACCAAGTTCAGCAGAAAGATACCACGTCACACAGATTTTGAACTGAGAGAAAGAGTTGTAGTTCTATCCCTCCATAAGATCATTGTTATTGTTTACAGTTGAACCTCTTTTCAAATTCAAAATACTTTTCCTCGACTTTAAACTTCGGGCTGGAGAAAATGTACACTAGTTAGACTCATACCTCCTGTTACTGACTTTTTGTCTGAAATAGGGCTTTTTCTGACATTAGTTTTTAGAAGACAAGCAATGAAAATGTCACAATTTAGCCTAACAGAATTTAATTACAAATTGAATCTGCCACTGAGTCTAATACAGAATTACAATTCCAAATCTTTCATACTTAAAATTATTTTAGTCTAAAAAGACTCTTTTTTCTGCGTATCTCAAACTGGTAACTGATTATTTACAAAATGCTCATGAATCACAAAAAAATTGAAGTATTTTCAATGCCACTAATCATGTGATGGATTGGATTTTATCAGGACAGCACAATTAATTGATAATCGCCCTAAATATCCTTTAAAACGGTACACAGAGAATGCAATGTAAACTACCCTGAATTTTATTCATCACTTAGTCAGTGCAAATATTCATTTACTGATAATGACACTGATGAAAAAATTCAAAGATGTCCAGAGAAGGACAGAGGGTAAAGAAAGGAAACCTATTGAATAATTCAGTCAGAGAGGTGATGAGACTCATCCTCCTTACAACACTTCTGATAAACGCTTTATCCTGAGTATGTTGAGTTTGAAAGTGTGAAAGCCATCCATAGAGTCAGCTTCCCTGTTTAAAACCTTTTGAATGGAAGGAGATAAATCAAATCCATAAAGAGGCACCTGTGAGGCATACCCTCAGTTTTCAAAAAACGCCCAAATTTTTGAAAATCAGTCAGAGGGCTTGGGAAAAAAAACTCAAATTCCCAGAGAGGACCTCACGTCCCTACTAGCCAGCAGCTGCCACTCCTGGATCTTTGGCAAATCGCAGCAAAGTGTCTGAAGTGCTCCTTCGAGAGCAATAGGTGCTGAGAGCAAGGATGTTGTATTTATTCAGAACCTCATATTCTCAGGTTTACTTTAAAGCATTCATTTGACGCTTTTGATCACCGATCAGCAAGCAAACCAGATTTTTTTCAAAAACCTGCAGATGCAGATCTTTGCTGCAATTTTTAGAGCGAAATTAAAAATTTACTGAGCATGCAATCCGACGTCATATTTAACTATAATCACAGGCTGCGATAGAGAGGTTTTCATGAGATGTTACTTTCTCAGGAACTGGTTGATTGAATATAAGAAACTGATACATCAAATTAAAGCTGGGATTATGAGGATGAAAATTGTTCAAATATCTGACTTCAAGCACTCGTTATCCTGAGGGAAACTTTGTTGTGATTTACTAAAGCACTGGGAGGTAGGCTTGTCCCAACAAAAGGTTGCTTCAGTCAAAGGGAATTTTCTTGCAAATACCGCAATTAATTTTCAAAAAGTTGGGCTTATCCTGAAAGCTGTGATTATGCATATTCATTGTTTCAATTTACCTTCCTATTTACAAGGGGAGGCTACCAATTGTCCCCCTCCGATCAGGTTCAAATTTGGCAGAGAGGTAGAATAGGTTAATATAAGAAACCATATTTTTTTTTTTAGGTGCCAATGCCCAGCTATTTTTAAGTAATGCATTTTTGAAGTTACCGTTTTTTCGTGTCAGCAACGCGCTCAAGTTGAGCCTACTGTGCGCGCACCTTTTAATGCGATCCGAGAATCTTCGGATAATGTGAAGTTGTTGGCCAAGTAGAAGCGCGCTCGCCTACGGCGCCGCGAGTTTGGGATTTGATGCTTGTTCCGAAAATTTAATTTTTACGATTGATTCTTTTGTTTTTTAATCGCTTTATGAGAGCAAATTGTAAGTGACCTTGTAAACGTTATGATACTAATTATATTTTTTTCCGATTTTGTGAAACAATCATAAAAAAATAAAAATAAATAAAAAATACATAAAAAATAATTAGGATCATAACGTTCACAAGGTGACTTACAATTTGTTCTGATTAAGCAATTAAAAAACAAAATAATCAATTGTAAAAATTAAAGTTTCGGAAGAAGCATTAAACCCCAGACCTGCGGCACCATGGGCGAGCGCGCTGCCGCTTGGCCAACGGCCTCACAGGACTTGAGAGTCACTCGGATCGCATTAAAAGGTGCGCGCACAGTAGGCTCAACTTGAGCGCGTTGCTGACACGAAAAAACGGCAACTTCGAAAATTTATAACTCAAAAATGGCTGGGCATTAGCACCTAAAAATAATACGGTTTCTTATATTAACCTATTCTACCTCTCTGCCGAATTTGAACCCATTCTGAGAGGGACAATCCGTAGCCTCCCCTTTAGAGGTTCAAAAATAGAGAGGATTATTTCATGGATGCCCCTTGTAGTGAGATGTAATTGAATGCCAAGTATTTACTGGTCATACTTAATGTGGAGGTCAATAAAGTAACTTTGAACAAACTGGAAGAAACAGATCTAAGACATAAACAACCAAAGATAACAGACAATTAGTAGACTGACCCAGAATGATTTGGAATGGGAGCAGGTAAATTAAAACATTTTAATAAGGCAGATAAAGTAGATCGAACCGCTTCAGAAGCAAGGCTTGTGTAATTTACTCTAGAGGAGCTGGCGGATGAGGCATTCTCTCCAGTGTAGACGGCATGTGCATTAAATTTCCCTCTACCAAATCCACACTCTGTAAGAGAGAAGAAAAAAAAATTCATAACTATCTAAATTGATGTGACATTTTTGTAAAAGTATTTCATCCAGGCTAAAAAGAATGCCTGATCACAGGCTGACGCATAAATATTTGGCAGAATCTGAAGTAGAACAGACATCAAAGAATAAGAAAGTTATGTATCTCATCAAGGGCACATTGTTGAACTAGAGGAGAGATGCGAGTGCACAGCATTTTGTTTGATTTTTTTACCTTTTGTGATTGTTAAGAGAGAAGATGAAAGAGATAGAGATAAAGGTAATCTCTTCCAAAGGAACATTCATCACTCCTTCACCATTAGGAAGTATTACAGTATCATAGCGGATAAAGAGAAGCAATTCAGTGCTGACCTTGCGGATAAAACACCTGATTATTTTGGTCAAATTTACTGGATGACTTATTGGACAGTGCGGCTTTTTGTAATTCTGAGTGCAGCATATCTACAAGGCTCCTTGCTTTTGGGTCAAGTTGCTGTAACAAAACAAGAGTAAATTTTGAATGAAAAAATCTCTCAATTGGTTTTAGGAAGGATGTATGACAGGTTTTTTAGAGTTGATTAGGGAGTCTCTCAAAGTAAATTGATGCTAAAGATTAAGGTGCCAGAAAAAAATTAGGATGGAAGGGACTGATTAAAATTCATCCCTCCCTAGAGATATGAAGACAATTTCCAAGTAGAAAATCATTTCCTACTAAAACAGTGCAAGTAGACTTATTTACAAAATTTAGAAAAAGAACATTCAACTGTAGGGAGAGAGATGCGAAGTTTGTTTTGCTACATCATGTGGGCAAGTAGTCGATCACTGAGCCGAATGTCTACCAATGGACCAGTCGCATCAACTGTCAAAAATCTGCCAAACTGACTGTCGATCGACCAGTCTAATCTACTGTTTCAAAATCGACTTTGAATCAGCCAGTTAAATCGTCTGGCGATCGAACAGTCAGATCGACTAATGCAATGAACTAACAATCAACAGGCTGAATAGGCCGTGATTGATCAGTCGTATCTTCTGTAGATTATTCAGCCACCCTGACTTCAATGGTCCAGTGAAATCGACTATCAATTGACCAGTTGCATCGTCTGTTGATCCATCAGTAGAATAGACTGGTCGATTGACAGAGGATTCGACTGGTCGATCCACAGACGACTTGACTGGTCAAGGTACTGGTTGACTGAAAGAAGATTTGACTGGTTAATCGACAGAAGATTTGACTGGTTAATTGACAGAAGATATGACTGGTTAATCGACAGAAGATTCAATTGGTCAACTGACGGACATATTAACTGGTCAAATCACTGATGATTCAATTGGTGGCTTGACTGAAGACTCTTCATTTAACTGAAAATTTGATTTACTGATCAACAGAATTATCAACTTGGTATTAACAATGATGGGCAGGAGATTTGACTGAGCAATAGACAAAAGAATGGACTTGTCGAAAGACAGAAGATTCGACTGAATAATCTTTGGACCGTTCTACTGGTCTATCGATAGATGATTGAAGTGGTCGATCTCGCCTAGATAATCAACAGTCCATTTGCCTGGCTGGTCAACAGATGATTCGACTGGTCAGTTGAAAGACGATTTGGCTGGTTGAATGACAAGTGGAATTGACTGTTGACCAACAAACGTTATCTATTGTCAAAAGACCAGTCAAATTGTCTCACAATTGACCATTCGACAGGTTATTCAACTGGTTGAAAGAAAGAAGGTTCGACTGGTAGACTGACGGAAATGTAGACCGGTTGATAGAAAGATGAAAATTTGGCTGGTTAATTGACCTGTTCAATAGACGGACTATTTGACTGGCCAAATGACAGATTTGCTTGCTTGATCAACAGACAATCCAGTTGGTCCAATGGGTCCATTGAGAGACGATTCAATTTCAGAATTGACTGAAAATTCAATTGATTGATCGACAGGTGAGTTCACCAGTTACATGGTTTCCACGATTGCTTCATTTTCCCATTCCCTGACTTTCTTTACTTTTCCCCCACTCCTAAATTTCCGAATTCTCTGACTATTCCCTAACCCTCGATCAGAACCTCCAACTGGATTATTTTTCTTTTATTTATGCTGATTTTTCCAAACTATGGACACAACCTCTACTTGTGGCAATTCAGATGAGGAAAAAGGTACCCTGGAGTTGTTAGCGCTCTCTCGAATGACATCAGGTGAAGTTGCTAAGCTGTTATGCTCTATGCGAAATTGCCCAATTTTTCCAAAAAAGTCCCTAACTTTTACAGGTGGCTGTGAATCTTTGACATTCTCTGACTGTCCAAGTTTTCTGGAGCGCTGGAAACCCTAGATTGTTCTTTTGGAATGTCAACCTTTCTCAAACTACGAGTAAGAACCTGAAAAAATAACCCTACAAATGTTAAAAATTGCTGGGATAGACCCACTCAAAAGGATTTTAGAGAATTTTTACCTGTTTCATTGAAATGGAGCAGAATAATTACATAAAATCATATTCTGAAAAAATAAAACATTTTTTCGTTTCTTTCTTTTTTTTGGCCTTGTTATAAAATTAGACATATTTTTAAACCAAAAAAATTACGTGCACTGTTGTGGGAGTAAAAATGATTAAATTACAAAAATACTTTGCGTCTGGATGCATCTACTCTAAAAATTGGTTCAGATGGTTTTTAAAGAGGGCTGGAAGTGGCCTTCCTTAATTTACTACTGCAGTTTTTTACTTAATGGTGAGGCTATTTGTGGGACAGGCTGCGGTGTGATAACTTATCTTTAATGGTTTTTAGAATGAAAATCTCCAACAAACCTGTGGAATTCATAATGAAAACAATTACTAAAACTATTAATTAAGTCATGTGCTCCCAAGGCTATTCCTTGCAATCTATTTCAGATCTTTCGTCCTTGTACTTCATTAAATTCCGTGAGAAGAAGGTTTAAACTTATTTTCAGTGATTTTCAGGCAGAGAAAGTTATGCACACTTCTAGAATCTTTAAGAAGAAAATACTCAAACTTGTCCTAATAGTCAGTCAATCACAAGCAGAATAACAGTCTGTAAAAACCTAGTGGTTAATTTTATTTTTACTTATGCTTCATGTCGGTTTACTTAAAGATGGTTCGAACTTATTTTTAGTGGTTTACAGAATGAAACACTTTCAAACTTCTGCAATCTTCAGTTCGGTTGGGTTAGGTTAAAGATTTGGACATTTCTCTGCATGCAAGATGAGGGCAGCACTAGTTGATAGAGGAACGGAAACACGATAAAGAAGCGTCAACCTGTGTCTGTTCACAGGTGCACTTTACCACCTTTGCTCTTCGTAAAAATGCAGTAAGTCGACACTAAAGCAAGTTTAAAGCTTTTACAACACCATGTAGATAAGACGTGCGTGCTGGTCTAAAATATCTCACATGAGATTCTATTTATAGCATTGAAAGAGCAATTGAAAAAATGAGTGAAATACAGCAATAAAATGCTCAACAAAGCAAAAACTGTATAACAGGTGGGAAACGTTTTAACCAGTTTTTGAAATTTCCGTGGTGTTATCTTCATTAGTGAAAGAGAAATTGATGAGTTGTAAACACAGCGTTGTTTAAAGCAGCTTTACTGAGATAAACTGAAAGATGAAAAAAAAAGAAACAAGAACCTATTTGGCCAAGAAGAAAATCTTGTTCCATCATGACAACGCACCTCATGTTTGCAGTCTCAATGGCAAAACTGTCAAAATTTTGCTTCAAAATTCCACCTCATACCCCTAAATCACTGAATTTGGCACTATCGAACTATTATTTATTCCCAGAATAAAAAAGATTTTTGGATGGTTGGTGATGTTTTTTCTATTCCAAACTTATGATTAGCAATCATAGACAAAATTTTACATTCCTATATGGTATAATTAAATGCTAAAACGAAATTTATAAAAAAGTAAAAGCACACCTCTTGATCTTTACGAAGCGCCATTAACTGACGAATGGTCACAGGTTGCTTATTGAGCAGTGCTTGAGAAATTACAGACAACTGGCGATAAAGAGCTGCAGCAAATTCGTCATCCAATGGTGGTTGATGATTAAAAAGGGGAGGAGTTTTAGGATTGCTGATTTTGCGTAAATGTAAAGGGGTTAGAGGAGATGTATGCATCTGTTGGTTTGAATCATCTGGGCCACCGAGGAATCCTCCGGCCTCCATCTTTAACGTTCTGGAAGAACTAAAGTCACAAACTGATGAGTAATCATCCACATGAAAACTATGAAAACAACAAGACACATTCCTGAGAGAGGGTTAATCCTCTGCGTCTGAATTATCTTAGGAAACAGATTGTGTCAGACAGACAGGAATTACTCTAATCTACGATGTTGGGTCTTTCAAATTCAAGAGACACTGCCTCTTTTGATCTCAAAAAGCACATTTCAAATGAGGCAAAGCGGGTTACAGCAGTGGCTCCTTTTAATTTGCATGGGCCCATGCTAGAAATTAGGGTACTACTGTCCCGAAAAAGGAAAGGAAAAAGCATAAAAAGCTAGACAGCCTCCTGCCCAACAGAGGAAAATGTACTGCAAAAATAAGCAAGAGAGTTGTTTCTTCTTAATAAAGGAAGAGGAAGAGACTTTCAGATCAAACATACCGTTTGTAGGCAAATAAAGCATGGCATGGTTATGAAGAAATAATACATAAACGATAACTTTGAAAGGATGCAAAATTTAGAAAGTTAAGAGGCAAATTCAGGGTTACATGGATTAGAAGCTGTAGGAAATTGTTCATAATTACCCTCGTTTCATTAGGTTGGGGTGCACTTAATTTGATGTATATTTAGGAAAGTTTAGAAGTGCTCAACGGGAATGGATGTCGGAAACTTGGGGAAAATGTCGGACCAAAAACTATAGGTTGCGTTGAACGAGAAAAATTTCAAAGTAACTAGTCTGTGCGTGCATCAGATTTTCGGTTCAGAAAAATACACATGAGGTATTAATCAGAGTTCCCTCTTAGTACAATTAACCATCCAGTTAAAATTAACCCAGTCTATCAACTCGACCAGATCTCTGGTTACTTCCATTAATTTGAGTTTTCCATTTTTATGCAAGGATACTACATTTTTGTCAGATTGCCTCGTCCTAATGCATGTTTACCTCGTTTCCAAATCCATGTTTTTGACGAGACTCACGTTTTTTGACTAAACCTGAGTTTCTTTACAAAACTCGACTTTTTCAACGAAACTCAAGTTTCTCGACCGAAACCGAGTTCTTCGACGAAACTCGAGGTTTTCGACCAAATTTTCAAAATTTCCCGCTTCAGATCCTCGATTCTTGGTTTTCCCCAATCCTATTTGCTATGCACCCTGGTTAAGATATAAGACTGACATCTGGAAGAAACTTCCCCTTCTATGGACGCTTTTCCAAGGAAGTTTCTATGTGGGGCCATAAAAGTTTCTGCTTTGATACCTGGGCAAAGTTGCTGGTTTGGAAATTCACTTTATCATCTTTATAACAGATTGCTTTACAACAGAAATTATCAACCACCGAAAATTCCAGTGATGTACGAGGTCTGTCCGGAAAGTATCCGACCTTGCTGATTATCTCGCCATCAACGGTTGATAGGACGGTTGGGGCTTGGGAATATCTTTGCAGAGACTCTCTTGAGTGCAGGTGCACAGCCGGATTATCACACGTTGGATCAGTCATTGGTAAATCGCCGATTAGTGCGTGCTATTCTGCTGTGATCGTCGGATTTTGTTTTTCCCAAAAAAGAGGAAGTTAAGAAGAGTGGGGTGGGAAGAGTTGGTGAGGAGATCATCAAAGGGGATGCGTCTTGGGTCGACCATGAGACAAAAGTACAATCGCCAGTTTAGATCGCACCTGGGAGACCTCGCCCGTAGAGAGCTCGGAAGAGTCGTAGCATTGTGAAGACAATGTTGACTATTTTCTTCGATCATGCAGGTGTTGTCCATCATGAATACACTCCCCAATGCTCTGCTATCAATAAAGAGAGCTCCTGAGAAACTTTAAATACCTTAAGGGGCCTTGGGGAGTGTATTCATGATGGACGACACCTTCATGATCGAATAAAACAGTCGACATTGTCTTCACATTGCTGCCACTCTTCCGCGCTTTCTACGGGCGAGGTCTCTCAGGTGCGATCTAAACTGGCGATTGTACTTTTGCTTCAGGGTCGTACCCATAGACCAAAGACGCGTCCCCTGTGATGATCCCTTCACAAACTCTTCCCACCCCACTCTCCTTAACTTCTTCTTTTTTAGGAAAAACGAAATTATCAACCGTTGATGGCAAGATAATCAACAAGGTCGGATACTTTCCGGACGGACCTCGTAAGGTGATTAAAATGACAAAGAAAACTCGTTACTTCCTAAACCCTCATTTACGATCAAGAAAATAAAACGTTGCACTTACTTACATCAATTCACTGAACTTTTCCCTTCCTGCTTAAGTGTACCCACTCTTCGGGAGATAAATTAGGCAACTTTTATCCCTTAACCTTCTCAAGGTTTAGGGGTCACCCCTCTTAAACTTCGGTTCAAATAAGTTTACCTTTTTAAGTGCCAGCAAGGATAGTAGATAGCACCTACTCAAGCAAATGAAAAAAATAAACCTGCTTGAAACGGGGTCTACCTTCAGTCAAGACAGAGGTTAGGAAATTATTTGTTGTTGAAGAGTAGTGGCATAACTGACACACCTCAAAAAATTATGAGAACAAATTTTCAAAAGTATTGATTTTAGTAGTTTGAAGCCCAACAAAATCAGTCGAAATTTCCCATTTTGACTATAGAAAGCTTGGTAAAAAATCAATAGCTCATTTTGAACCTTTAGTAGTAAACTTGGTATTTTTAGCACTAGAACTTAATAAAACTAGCAGGAAAACAAAATAATTTAGTAAAATAAAAAAATGAAATTCTAAAACATGCAACTTTATCATTTGCTACTTTAACTTTGAACAATCTCAACCTTTAATATTCATCTCTTGCAAACGATAATAATTTTAGACTTACCCGCCATCTGTAGACCCAGAGTACTCTTCGAACGACTTATGTTTCAATAAAGTTGCTTTCCCACCATTGTTGATGTTTGTTTCTTGCTCCCGTATCTGTCGCCTCCTTTTTTTGCTCCATAACTCATGACAGTCTTGCCATGTTGGTAACTGAGGGACAGGCATCCTATGTAGTCATTTCAAGAAAATTACTGGTGTTAGTAAAAAAGCAATTTAAAATGAAAAGCACCTCAGAGAGGTGCCAACTTACAACAACTTAAAACGGAGAAAGCGGTTTTAGAGACTTAACTACTCTACAAAACTCAATGTGAAAAGTATTCAGGCTGACTTTCTCTAACAGGCAGATTGAAATTTTCATGAAAAATCATCTGTATTTACCTACTTCAAAATCCTTGAGGAGAAAATCCCGCGATTTGATTTTCAGGCTGTTTTGTGCCATTATTTAGTCCATAAAGAGAAATCCTTTTTTTAAAAACAAATTAAACAAAACGATGTCGGTTTTTTATTGGAGCCAAATTAATTTTCTTGAAGGCAGTCTTATTCCGCACTAAGCAAGAGGTTATTAGTTCTAGCCAGTCCTGCCAGTGCAAAGATTGTACCCTCTCCTTCTCACTGCATATGTTGATTCTGCTTAAGCAACTCCATGTCTTTCAGATTCAAACAGCTGGCTTTCAAAGAGAGATCAGTTGACTACCTTATCTAAGAAATGAATGGCATCGCGTCACACCACATGTTGTGCTCATTAAAAGAAATAAGTGTGAAAGGCAGAGGACTCCATAACGCACTATCTCACTACTCAAACTAGCCCAAGCGTCCATATGGAATGGGTGAAAACAATACAAGGTCATGGCTACTCTGAGAGGGGAGGGAGGTTTGATCAATACCTCCTCCATAGGCCGAAGTGATCTTCATGGGCAAGAAAAGGCATAGGGAGCACTCATTAACCTCCACCATCCAGAGAATAGTCTACGTGTTCAAGCGGAAATATCTCAACTCCTACACAAGGGAATCTGCTAATTTCATGGTTATATGTTAATAACAAACTTAATGTCGATCTAATATAGATTCATTGTATGTGATCAAATGTACCTGGAGCTATTGAGGTAACCCCCCCTCCCCCCATCGTGCTTAGGATTCTTTCCAGTCAGTCACTTGTGATGTCAGGTTATTCACTAAGCTCAGTGTTTAAACCAGTAGGTCACATGATTACTTAACTCCTTCAATCAAAATGTATCCTTTTGGAGAAGGGATAATATATTCTATCACTCTTGATAGTAATTCGATTAAATTATTTTTGCAATAATTTATTGATTAATTGCTGTAATCTGTGCTGTTCCATTAGAAGCATACAGTATTTGTATACATTAGTAAGTAGAGAGATAGAATGTTTTTGATAATATTTAAGTGCTATACTGATAAATCAGCACTTAAATATATTTAAACAGAAATATATTTAGAAAGATATATTTTAATAGAAGGAATTTCTTTGATAACTATTAGTAAGTAAAGAAATAGGAAAGTTTAAATAATAATATTTAAGTGCTCCTTTTTTTTTGTCAAATGAAGGGGTAAGAAAATAAGAAATGGTCTCAGCATCACAAAAAATTGAAAACTTACGTAGTAGGATCTACATCTTTGAGCCATGTTGATTTAAGACATTGGTCGACTGAGAATCTATGCTCAGGGTCTATCTCCAACATTTTGTCCAATAAATCTAGAGCCGATGAGGGCATGAATGAAAACTCTTCCTTGAGTCTTCTCATATGAATTTTCTTCGGTTTTAACATGTGCCACAAAGGAAGTTTGATCACTGATGGCCAGACAGCAGGAGTTGGCGTGCCGCACAGGCGAGAAATGATATCTAGAAGCATCATTTCCTCACTTGCCTGAGAAAATAGATCAACAATAATGAGCCACTCTAAGACGAATAAAATCCAGGAATTAAATAATTCTACGACTTATTAAAAGTTCCTAGAGATATTGAATCAGTGAGTACCAAACCATTCGGGTTTATTTCAACTTCAGATTTTGAACGGCAAAGAATTTAAATTTTAAATTTAATTGTAAGTTTAAACTTCTTCATTAAAATTTAAATTGAGTAAATTTAATAGTAATTATGAAAATGTATACTTTCATTTAACTTGAAAATGTTAATAAAATAAAAATAAAAATCAATAATGGGTCAAAAATCAAATATCAATTTATAGGTACTACTTATGGTAGTACTACTAAGGGGCACATGATATCATTTTAAATTCTTAAGTCTCTAGGCCCCTTCCTGGCCCCATAATGGCTACACTTAACAGCTTAGCCCTTATAATAGCTATTTTTACTTTCTTGCTCCGCTCACGGGTAAATAAAATATTGTCATCGTCCAAATAAAAAAAAAAAATGAAATTTCACCATTTCTAGGCGTTTTTTTGTTATTCTTCTTCAAAGTGTCAAGGAAAATTTTGTATCTCTTCTCCCTGACTTTCCAGGTTTTCCCTGACTCTTGGGTTTTCTGTCTCTCTGACTTTCCCTCGCGACTTTTTCAAAAGAAACACAAAAATGAACATAGTTTGGCATGAAGTATGAGTTCGAATTAGAAGGAGCTTGAATTTCTGGGGGATAATTCACTACAAACCGGGAGTTCCTTACTCTCCCGGTTAAGCGTTTTCTCTCCTTCCACTCTCCCAGACTAGATGTGCTTTCCCGATCACTGAACACCCTGTTATTGTGCCTTTTTTCATTTCTTCCTTTGTTGATATTTTAATTGTAAAAATGGAGATGAATAAATAAAGATATCTCATGAGCTACTAGTGCCTGTGTTTGGTCTGATCTCAAACCTGATGCATGAGCTTTAGCCCTGGGGAGGGAGTGCACAATCTTCATTGGTATAGGTATTTCAATAGGATCCCCAACAACTATCAAGACATTAAAATAATTGCTAAATCAAAGGCCAACATATGAAAGTTTTACCGGAGTATTACCATGACCTTGGAGGTTAAGGCCGCTAAGGTTGTCAAGTAAACAATAGAAATTGACAAGGAAACGGGCCAAGGGGATTTATTCAACAAACAGGTTACATACCTGAAAAAGCGGTCTCTTGAGGAACAATTCACCTAATATGCAACCACAGGACCAAACATCAACTGCTGGTCCATATCGCTTCTCTCCAAGCAGTAATTCTGGGGGTCGATACCAGAGGGTGATTACCTTATTTGTGTATGGCCTTTGTCGATCCTCAGCATTATACAACCGAGCTAATCCAAAGTCTGCTAATTTTACTTGACCTCTGCAACAAATTATCCAAACAGCAACTAATTAACAAGAAACTCTGACGAATTTCAAGTAATAAATTTCCGTGTGCATAATAGTGTGAGTTAGTAATGTTTCTTGATTGAACTGTATTTTGCGATTCGGCACTATCATTTTTAACTCAGTTTAGAAACAACATATGTACCATTACTTTCCCTGTGCACAAAATTGATTTTACAGATGAGTTAAATAATGTAGACCCTAATTGCAAAATGTAGTCCGACTAGCATTTAACGTTGCCTAATTTTTACCCATGTTCTATGTATTTTCATATCAGAGAAATAAACTACTCAGTGCCTTTGAGGTTCCTGGAAAGAGCGACGCCAAAAACGACCGTTTTTTGGCACAATTTGGGCCAGCAGGGATTTTTCTGAAACCGGGCCCAAACGATAACTTATGATACCCTAAAACTCTGGTTAAAATTTTAGCTCGAGTATACGCACGGTTTTTGAGAAATGAGGGGGCAAAGTTGCCAAATCGCCATCATTCTGGACAGCATTTCTACAGCAAAAAGACGGGAAAAATGGACGAAAAAGTTACACCTTTGATGGGTTTCGGCTGTAAATGTTCTCATTGGGCCCCCAAACACTTAACCGTGTTCAGTTTCAAAAATTTTGGTCGCACAGTGGTCCAAAATGGGGAGAAATCGTTGACAAATCAGGATTCTTTGTCAAATTTTCAGAAATGGAAGTAAAATTGTCGGTCTGCTGCAGTTTTCATGGCTAACAATGTTCTTATCGGTCATCAATGCATGAAATTGTGTTCAGCTTCACAAATTTACATCGCACAGTGGTCAAAAATGGGGGAATTAGTGGATAAATTAAGATCCTCTGTCTAACTTTTTAAAAATGGAGTGAAACTGTTGGTCCCCAGTAGACTTTAGATCCCGGAAAAATTCTTTAAATTCTTTTTTTGACTATTTAAATCTTTTTTTAATTTCCTCTCTCCATTTTTCCTTCTTTTTGTAAATTTCTGAAAGTTTGCATATTTTATTGAGTTAATGCTACAAAGTCTATTCTATAACAACGTTCTACAAACAATACGGTCTGACATGTGGTAATAATTAAAAAAATTAAGAACATGAATTTTTCCGGGATCTAAGCCTTACTGGGGACCAACAGTTTCACTCCATTTTTAAAAAGTTTGACAGAGGATCTTAATTTATCCACTAATTCCCCCATTTTTGACCACTGTGCGATGTAAATTTGTGAAGCTGAACACAATTTCATGCATTGATGACCGATAAGAACATTGTTAGCCATGAAAACTGCAGCAGACCGACAATTTTACTTCCATTTCTGAAAATTTGACAAAGAATCCTGATTTGTCAACGATTTCTCCCCATTTTGGACCACTGTGCGACCAAAATTTTTGAAACTGAACACGGTTAAATGTTTGGGGGCCCAATGAGAACATTTACAGCCGAAACCCATCAAAGGTGTAACTTTTTCGTCCATTTTCCCCGTCTTTTTGCTGTAGAAATGCTGTCCAGAATGATGGCGATTTGGCAACTTTGCCCCCTCATTTCTCAAAAACCGTGCGTATACTCGAGCTAAAATTTTAACCAGAGTTTTAGGGTATCATAAGGTATCGTTTGGGCCCGGTTTCAGAAAAATCCCCGCTGGCCCAAATTGTGCCATTCTTGGCGTCGCTCTTTACTATAGATTATAAAGCATATCCTCACAAAATTTCAAGTTCCAATTCTGCTTAATTTTCTGCTAAATTCGTAGAATATGAGAGAAAACTAGGCAACATTCAATGCAGTTAGATTGATCCTGGTTACATTAGTCTGATTACGGAAAAATTGAGAGCAATATGGAGATGCAGTTCAGAATTAAATTTTTTTAACATTCTGTACACAGTCAAGAGCACAGCAGAGTGCGTCTTCAAAAATGTGTAGCTTATTTATACTCTCAACTACAAACAGAACTTATGCTGGTCATCCAGAAATGTTTCAATCTTAATCGAAGACAACCAAAGATAAAAAGGATCTAAAATATACCTGTAAATTAACCATACTCTTAACTTCAGTTAGAGCCCAAGTTCATTGAAAAATTAGACAAATGGAAGCTTATAGCATCCATCGTACGGTGCCGCTGTGCATTGTGGGGGGATAAGGCTGAGCTAGGACAGGAAAAGTAAATTGGCATGTGATAAATAGCCCTAATATGACACATATCTTCTTAATGATTGGCTGATGAATCGACCCTTCTTCATTTCACTAGGGTTGCTCTTACTAGTGGTGATGCTACTTGCTTTACACAACACCCTACTATACATATACAATTAACGGAGAGCTTTGAACATGATTTTGTCAAATCTGCTTTTTTCGCTAAATGCTGCTTGGTCAGGACGGCCTTCACAGGATTCTGCAATTAACTTTCTTGCTCATCTCTCAGTTATTTCTTCGTTTTTTGGCAGAAAAGAGTTTATCAAAGTCATGCTATGAGGGTCTTTCAGAAAATAGGTTCCCCCTCAGATTGATCAAAACTAAAATAATTACAAAAACTTAGATTTTTGAAGTTTAACAGTATATTGACTTTTATTTTTGAATCAACCAATCCTTTGAAAATCGAATTTCTTCTTCTATGGTTTTCACCTATAGTTTCTTCCACATTGGATTTAAAGGTCAGTAATAAATACATTTGCACTGGTTGCTTGACTAAAAACATGCATGAAATCATGGTAGAGGAAATACAATGCCTACAAATGCTATTGATAAAAAGGAAAACAAATCTAGATTTGCAAATGACACCACATACAAATAATAGACTCAAGGATCTGGCCTAAAAGTGGTACGATTCCTTTTCGCTGTGTAGTAGCACTCATTGAAATAGTGGTCCATTCATTGGGTCATGTGAGTTTCATGGTGAAAAATTATGTAGATCAGGATGTGCAGATGAAGATGTTGAGATGAGCAAAAAAAAATTAGTGAAAAACAGGAGCTTTCGGAACGATATGCAGACAGGATACGGTGATAGAGGAAGGAAAGCGACTCAGAAGTCCGTGCAGAAACAGAAGACCTTGCAATGGTTGTTAGTGCATCAATGTGCAAGTTGCAAGGTGAAAGGTTTGACAGCTGAACAATTGAAAGAGGATAGAGGATTAGCGAGCCAGTTTAAGCAACGTAAGCATCAAGGGTATTTGCTTCAAGAGAGAGCACTGCTGGACCTCCTCCTTGGCAACCTTCTATGCCTACAGATAAAAAGCGAGGCTGTGCATGGACTGCCACTTTTTCATTTCTAGGGGGAAAGCAGCAAGGCATTTTCAGCAACCCCTTCAGCGAGCAGAGAGAGTAGATGAAAGCTCTTCACTCCGCCCCCTAGAGCGCTCTTTGTACTTGTTTTGGAGCAATAGAAAATCATTTCTTTTTTAAGGCAATGAGAAAAGGGAAATCTCAAGGTGGGATATTTACAGACATTAAAGTTAAGAGCATTGTCATTAATGGGTTTAAAACTTGATCCAGAATTCAGAAGGAAGAATACTGAAACTGATGCTTCCGCAGCAAGCAGGTGTATCCTCTATGAAGGGTATCTATTTTGAAAATGTATTTCCAGATTGAAGTAATCCATGTTTAGCTTGCTGGTGCATGTAGACAATTAAATGCAAATTCTTTTAGGTTTTGATAATTTTATTTTCAAAACAGTTACCACCTACTTGAGGAAGACAGGCAAAGCAACGACAGCATCAATTGATGCCTAGAGTGTCCCGTTTATTCAATTTTAATTAAATTGGACTGAAATTAAACCTGACAGTATGACTGATATGCAAAAATAATTGGATCTTTTCTGTCTTGTATAGTTTTCAAATTATATCAAATACACCATAAGTTCTGAACGATCTTTGCATTATACAGGGTTATCCATAAGTCTCTGACCACCCCTGTATCTTTTTTCCAAATTGAGATAGAAGTTTGAAACTTTGGGAATGTTCCTCGGTCTAAGATAGCAACTTTTTGGTCCCCCCAAAATTTTGGGGGGCGGCCCCCCTTAAGGGGGGCGGGGGCTAACTTTTTTTTCAAATGGCAACCCCTCCTTTGTGATACCTCATTCGAAAGATAATAAAAAAAGAAAATTTTTGCCGCAAACCGCAAGTCAAAATGTTCATTTTTGACAAAATGGCGGCCGGTCAAAGTTCAAAATGGCAGAAATTTGGCATCTCCGTTGTTTATTGACGGATTGGTGTGAAACTCGGAATCCTAGGGTTTTGCGAGATGAGAAAAACGATTCTGGCATTGGTTTTCCAGAAAACTCAGTCCTTTTCAAAATGGCGGCGGTCAAAATGGCGGCCTCGAGCGGGAAGTGGATATTTAGGCTGCATACCGTTGGATTTGCATGAAACTTGGATAACTGGGGGTATTTCGGCACGAGAAGAACGAATCTTTCATTGGATATCTGAAATTTTGACAAATTCCAAAATGGCGACGGAAAAATGGCGGGAAATAAGTTTTACGGCTGTTTACCGATGGATTTGCATGAAATTCGATATCCTGGCGGTTTTTGGCTGGGTAAAAAGGAATCTTTCATTAGATTCTTGAAATATCAAATAATTTCATGCTACTCCATCGGTAAACAGCCGTAAAACTTATTTCCCGCCATTTTTCCGTCGCCATTTTGGAATTTGTCAAAATTTCAGATATCCAATGAAAGATTCGTTCTTCTCGTGCCGAAATACCCCCAGTTATCCAAGTTTCATGCAAATCCAACGGTATGCAGCCTAAATATCCACTTCCCGCTCGAGGCCGCCATTTTGACCGCCGCCATTTTGAAAAGGACTGAGTTTTCTGGAAAACCAATGCCAGAATCGTTTTTCTCATCTCGCAAAACCCTAGGATTCCGAGTTTCACACCAATCCGTCAATAAACAACGGAGATGCCAAATTTCTGCCATTTTGAACTTTGACCGGCCGCCATTTTGTCAAAAATGAACATTTTGACTTGCGGTTTGCGGCAAAAATTTTCTTTTTTTATTATCTTTCGAATGAGGTATCACAAAGGAGGGGTTGCCATTTGAAAAAAAAGTTAGCCCCCGCCCCCCTTAAGGGGGGCCGCCCCCCAAAATTTTGGGGGGACCAAAAAGTTGCTATCTTAGACCGAGGAACATTCCCAAAGTTTCAAACTTCTATCTCAATTTGGAAAAAAGTTACAGGGGTGGTCAGTATCTTTTGGATAACCCTGTATGGATATCGTCAATCTCAAGACAGTAAATTTCTGATATTTTGAAGATTCAGTAAAGTCGAATTTTTTTTCTGGTCTCATCTGTTTACAAAGGAAATTCGCTGGTCTTAGATAAATTTAAAAGTCCCATTATTGAGCTTTTCGGCAATGAGTCAGAAAGAAATGCAAGGTTGCCAACAACGTTTTGCTAACATGAGGAGGACGTTTGAGCGTATGCTGTATAAGCAGTCAGAAAAAATACAGAATAAAATATCAGTAACACACATCACCCAACCTCGAGTTGCAGTCTTCATGCCCTATGTTGCAATGGCTGTGATGCCGTTCATGTACTTTCCAATTTTTTTCTACTCAGGGCACACTCGCAAAAACCTTAGTTTTTCAACTTTTGCTCCTACTGCTACAGGAAAATTTGTCTTGTTGAGATGGGAGAATCTAATAAGTAGTTCTTATGTATCGTCTGATCCCCTGCAATATGCTCCAGTAATTTAATCCGAACTAATTTAGCCAACTTATGAAAGAGGTGTATGGAATTATTTCCGTAAACCTCGCGCGCGTTCACGAAAAAAGTCGGCGCGTGAGCAGCAGAGTCGTCGCGTGAGCAGTAGAGTCGGCGCGAGCAAAGAATCTTCGCGCGCGCGAAGAAATCTCCAAGGTCACGACAATACCTCGCGCGGGCGAAAATCTCTCGCGCGCGCTGCTACAGAGCCTAAACAAGGTCAAGACACTGCTGCCAAATGTAGATTTAATTTTAGCTTAATAGTAGGTTACGTTAGGTTAGGTTAGGTTAGTTTAGGTTAGGTTAGGTTAGTTTAGGTTAGGTTGGGTTAGGTTAGGTTGGGTAAGGTTAGGTTAAGTTAGGTTTTAAACTTGAATTGAAAAGACGTTTGGCAACATACAACCTTGAGCCATGCGATCCTACATGGCGCGCGGCGGGTTTGCTCTCGCGCGCGTCGAGTTACACCTCGCGCGGAGAAATACTGACAGCGCGCAGCGAAACCTATGTCGCGCGCTATGGAATTGCTCCGCGCCAGTGGCGCAACCACGCGCCGACTTTCTTTGTGAACACGCGCGAGGTTTCGTGAACGCGCGCGAGGTTTACGGAAATAATTCCATACATAATCTTACCTCATTCCCACTTTCAATACCATGCACTTTCATTTACACTTTCATGAACTCTCTTTTTGGCAAGTAAAAGCTAGAGAAGTTCTTGCATTGTGCAAATTGATGATCAAGTTCCCCTCTCCTCCTACTTCAACACTTTCCTACCCCAACCAGTGCATTGATGAATGTTGGGTTTCAAAATGAATTCCAGGAAATTCCAATTTACTGCCTTGCTACACGTCACCCTGCCTTTGATGTTCCACAACTTTTACAAATAATTTGGTTTCAAAATTATCGGCGAAGTTCACCGATTTCAAAGATCACAAAATTACTGCTTTTCGACATTTAGACCAAATCATGTCTTATAATGGAAAATTTCTGATCATTTCACTTCAAGTTAGATTTGTCTCCAAATAAATCTAAAAAAATGCTGAAGAGAGCATTGCTCAGAAATTTGCTTGATTGGAGCAAAACTCCCTATCCTGGGCCCATCCAACTTATCGCAATTTCACTGTATAATGGGAGACAAACTTTTGAACTAACTTAACATATAAAATACTAATTTTAACATATTTAAGCTCTCATGGATCAAAATTGTACCATCAATTAGTGTTCGAAATATGGAATGTCCATTGTAAGGACAAAAATTGTCAATTAGCCCCTATCATCATGAAGATGATGAAGAAGGGCAGAAGTGGAGATTTCAAGGTTTTAGAAATTTAAATAAAACCATCATACTTTTCAGGGGCTTAAATTTCCTTTCTTTCAATTTTACTGGGAATTTTTTGTGAATTAGTCATGAGGCAAGAGTTCTAGGAGAAGATCCCTCTTCTACGCCTCACATTGGTAAGACAGTTTTTATGACTGGCTTTGTCAATTACAAAGGCCACAGAGTTTCATAAGGTCTCTAAGGTGCAAACAATTTCCAACAGGCTTCTTTCAAGCTTTAAATTCATCATGGAGGATTACATTAACAATTAGGACCTTAAAACCGCCTGCAGTGGAGCATGACTAGCACTTCTGGATAAAAACATATACAGTGGCACTAAGGTTGCTCTAGAAAAACAAAACAAAAATGAAAATTTTTAAGTAGTTCTAGTTAATTTCCAAATTGAAAGAGTGAGAATACTACATTTGACAAGGGCTCATTGAGAAACGTGTGCTGATGAATGAGACAATAATTGATAGCAGTTCCTTTTGTTTTTTATGTGAATTGTGAGCATTGAAGTGTTTGTTTGTCGTTATGGACAAAGCCAGCAAACTGGTATATCTGACAATAACACAAACCATCAGTTAAGTTGTCATTTTGGCATTGTTCTTACTTTCCTAAACTTGCAAACACCAACACTTAGGGTTCATTACCTGTTGTTCATTAATATATTACTGCACTTGATATCTCGATGTAAAAAATTCTTTCTATGGCAATAGCTTAATCCATCTAGTAACTGTCGCATGATACTAGCATTGTACGGCGTCAAATCAACCATTCCTGACTCAAGAAGTCCCATCAAGTCATGGTCCATATATTCGAACACAAGGTAGAATGAGCCTTTATCCTAGACATAATTCAAACATCTTAGTACACACATAAAGGGAAAAAGAAGTCAATAACTGAAACAATTTACAAATCAGGAGAAACCATTTAAGAATGAAAAACAGAACCAGGCTATTCTGATGAAATCTTAAAAAGGTTTTACTACACAAGTTTGTAGCAGTTAAAACCCTGAAAGCAGTATCCCCCTGTAGAGAAGCATTCAGTGACTCTCTTTTGGTGCCTCACATCCAGAGACTGCTTATGATATGCTTCGATAGCTCATAAAAGCACGCATTACGTCAAGTGTCCGGAGGCTGGATCGATTAATCATGGACACTAGGTTCAAACCTGAATGGGATACCCCTTCCTTTTGTTCTGCTCTCACGCCTCAGGTAGACGGATGTGATGGGCCAACAATGCGCTTTAAATCTGTAATGTAAACTCTTAAAAACGACAACCTAGAGACTTGACTAAGTTGATTGCATACATGTTTCGGTCTTCTTTAGTTCCAAGAAAAAAGGGAGTATCAAAAATTTTGAAGATATTTTGTCGCGTGCATGTGCATCAATGTACAAGAAAAAATTGCTAATAAATTTCCTCTCTCCAGGTGATTTTTATCATTACTTATAGTAGGCACAAAAGGCGGAAAATCACTAATTCCACTTAGCAAGTTGGACGTATTTCGCTATGAGCCTAATTAAAAGATTAAACATTCGGCTCTTTACAGGAGCTGTACCAGAACACAAACATCTAGGTTCTGGGGGCAATTAAACCATCACTCAGAGGAGGCCTCAGAAGCGAAAAATTGCTGATTTTGCGAATCAGGTTGACCGCAGAAGGGTTTCCGCCTACTTTATTGGCCGATGTTTTGTCAAAAATTTGAGAATTTTTGGTCACCCTCCCGTAAGATAAGTTAAAAAGTTTTGCTTGGACTTGCAATGTTGTCCAACATGTTGTCCGTCGAATCAGCATCTCAGGTTAGTCACCGTTACAGACGGTTGCAAATTGTAAAGAAAACAGAATTTGCGGAATCGGAATGAACAAAAATCTCTCATAAAAGACCCCTGGAAGACAACTTTACATCATTTTTCAAAGCTAAAATTATTCTCTGTCAACGAAATACTCCAGGAAAGGCATCAATTCAAGAGGGAGATCTTAAAAATTTGCATAGGCGGAAAATACTGTCACTCCAATGGCGTAACTTCATTTCTTTGTGAGCCCCGTTTCAGTTATATGTTCATGCTTTCTTGGGCTCATATGGAAATAAAGATACGCCCTTGCATCAAAGAAGCGACGCTATAAGGCACCCTAAAGTTGGTTTATGCAACAATAGTGAGACATTGGAGGTCATTGCCTTCAGAGGACTCAATAATTATCACAAGTCCAATACCAAAAAACTGCACAGGTAATGGTCAGGCGAGAGATTTGGAAGATGATGAAGCGAGCAGTTTTCAGTTTGCACCGCCTCAATCACTGGCGGATGAAATTAATGGGTGAAAAATGTGTATGGCAGCAATGCAGGCTCCTTGCCGGGACCCTATGCAGCACACCAATGCTTCCTTAATTACCCTGTCGCACTTCTCGTTCTGGAAACTGCTCCTTGCGCCAGGGTAATTAGAGTACAAGATTTAGGGCAATTCTTTCTTTCTTAATTTATGGGAAAGACTTTTCTCAATAAATTTGAAGCAAAGTGATGTAAAAAAATCCAAAAAGGCCGTGATACACTCCAGGAAATCGTTTTTGGTGCACTGTTACCAAGGAGAGCAGTTAGTTCATGGTTGAAAAATTGAAGTTTTGGGGGAACGGACCTAGTGCTATTTGAGCTGTAAATACCATTCAACAAGTCCAGCTTCATTTTTGTGATAGGAAGGGTATTGATTAGGTCCGTATTTAGGTCTGCTACCCTAAATTTTCTCAACTCAACGATTGTTTTGCTCATTGAAGGTCTATATTTTACAGACTGCATCATAATTTGGTCATTTTCGGTCTCTTCTTGGATCTAATAATAGCCTAAAAATACCATCCTGTAAAATATGGACATTCAATTAACAAAACAACTTAGAGTTGAGGAAAGTCAGCTTGAGTGGTCCCAAAACCGGCCTTCATCGATACCCCTCCTTTCACAATGATCATTAATGAGTTTATTATTAATTTTTCGAGCGCTAAATAATCGACAAATTTCATCTTTGACTAATAAAAGCTTCTGTACGTTTGATTTTGAAATTCGGAGTGTATTTCACTTCTGAGCCTAATACAGCACCTTCACAAACCAAGTGATATGAATACGAAGTAATTTTCGCTCCTCCATTAAACTGCATCACACTGGTGCAAGCAGTGGAGGTACATGCTGCTGTGTAAAAGTGAGAGACTCTCCATGAAAAGAGTTAAAGAGTTGATTCAGATTAATGCGCACTCATATCACTTGAATTGTTTGGACAATACACAGACTCTGGAATGAAATGTGCTAGAAATTTTTTGCAGAGATTCAGCGTAACTATCAATCGGAGATGGTAATGAATTGATTAATATTGGAACCAGGAAAGCGAGAATGTGGATTACGGAACAATTGTTTCCTAGTCGTCTTAGTGTGATCATCCACTTCATCATTTTCGTGGATGAAGTTTATGATGAATTCTTCCAGAACCTAAAGGTAAAGAAAATAAACCACAGTATGCAGAAATGGTCTCTCAAAGAAGGCTCGTAAGATAGCAGTTGTTCAATTTCTCACGGTTTTAAGTGCAACTTTGACAGCTTCATGACTATTTTTTCTAAATATTTTGCGGATTAAGGGGTTTGCGTGTACTAGGAAATTTTTGTGCTATTCAGTGTTTTTGCTTCACTGTTGTGCGGTTATCAATATTATGTAAAGTGAAACTTAATAGAAATTGAACGCTTTTGTAGGGCAACATGCTTATTGTAAGTTGTTGACAGAAAATTTCTTTATCACTGTCGATTTATTAGATATAACATTGGGGGTTTTCAAGTCCCTGATGAGAGACCACTTCAGGGGTGAAACTTAGAAGTGAAATGTAAATTTATTTTGTTAATTCTTTTATCTTAATTTATAATTTGTTCAATTTGTTCACACTTGTTTTTGTTTCTATTCTTGTTTTGTTTTTATTGTTGTAGTTTTGTTAATGGACTTTATCCGTGTATTTTGTAAATAAATAAATAAATAAATAAATAAATCACTGAGCAAAGCAACTGAAATTTGCAGTCAAGAAAAGTTTCTCAAGACTCAAAAATAGAATCGTTGGAATTAAGCACGTTTCTGATTGATATGAGCGCATTTCTTCCTGATGTGAACACATCTTCCTCGAGGAAACTCTCTCCTTTGCCAAAATTACACACAACCAGTTACTTTTTAGTGTATTTTCCGAAGGAAAGATACACTATTGCGTTCTCCCTCATGGTGGGACCTAGACCTGGGACCATGTAAAGAGCACCGATCTCAAGTCGTAGATTACGAATATACATGTCATTCATTTTCTGACACACACACACACACACACACACACACATATATATGATAAAGAGTTCACGGTTGTAATAATTAATAATTTTATATACAGGGTGTCCGGAAGTTAACGTATTTAACTTTCAGGATCGCTATTTCGGCTCAAAATAAGACTTTTTTTCCTATACACATAAGCCCGAAAACGCTTCATACGTGAGCTATGCGCTTACAAACTTGCCATTATTTTTCGTTCAAATTAACATAGCTCCTCGTCATTTTTTCATAGGTGGCTGAAACTTTGCATAGGGGGGTATTTTTTAGCGCTCTATTCATTTTTTGTGTTTTCAAGGACGTACGTCTTCGGAAAATGATGTCACAAGCTTTCCCGAATTTGAAAATTGCGATAACTTTTTTGGTAGATGATATTTCGAAAAACGGATTACGGCACGTAAAAGAGCGTAAAAAATCAAGGGGTCCAAGGACTGCACAAAATTTTCCAGAAACGCGTTATTTCGACGCAACAGAACTTTGAAAAATTTTAAGATTTTCGAAGCTCCTTGCTGTGTAGGCAATTTTTACTGCAAGGATTGAAAAATTGCCTACAGAGCAAGGGGCTTCGAAAACCTCGAAGCTATTGAGACGGCTCTTGACCTTTCCCTCACACTTTTTCCAGGCTTGGGACTGGCCCGAGCATCATCTTACTAAAATCGCGGTTAGGCGGCGATATTTTTGGTATCAAATATCCACCGAAAAATCATACTTGGAGGCTTATCGAAAACATGGTTTCAAATGGCGCTTCGAAAATCTTAAAATTTTTCAAAGTTCTTTTGCGTCGAAATAACGCGTTTCTGGAAAATTTTGTGCGATACTTAGACCCCTTGATTTTTTACGCTCTTTCACGTGCCGTAATCTGTTTTTCGAAATATCATCTACCAAAAAAGTTATCGCAATTTTCAAATTCGGGAAAGCTTGTGACGTCATTTTTCGAAGACGTACGTCCTTGAAAACACAAAAAATGAATAGAGCGCTAATAAATACCTCCCTATGCAAAGTTTCAGCCACCTATGAAAAAATGACGAGGGGCTATATTAATTTGAACGAAAAATGATGGCAACTTTGTAAGCGCATAGCTCACGTAAGAAGCGTTTTCGGGCATATGTGTATAGGAAAAAAAAAGTCTTATTTTGAGCCGAAAAAGCGATCCTGAAAGTTAAGTACGTTAACTTCTGGACACCCTGTATATGTATATGTATTTCAGCCAGCGTGAGGAGTTTTCAGAGCGTTGAGCGGCAGTTAATTTTTAAGTTTCTTGAAACGAAACTACTGGGATTTATAGTCCCCTAAGAGTACTTTTAAAGTGTGAAGAAAAAATCGGAATACGTTAATTACTTATCGCACAGCGAGGGGTCAAAGTGGGGGGAGGTTTAATTTTGTCCACGCGATAACTCAAGTAAAAATGAATATTTTGAGCTGAAATTTTGGTGGTAGTTAGATATCTACTAAGACTGGTTTCCTATTGAATTTCAGCGAAATCGGCCAACGCGTTCCATAATAGTGGCAATTTACCGTTTTTACGGGTGAGGGGGGGGGGGTAGGAGTTGCGCAGTCAAGGGAACTGTTTTTTGAAACATATCTGTGGCAAGAGTGGTAGGGTAAATGATTTCATTCCCCAATGTGACACTATCCTTCAGAAAATACTTTTATGCCGCGGTAAATGCGCGGACTACAAAAAGAACCGTCCCTACTTGCTGGCAACCCCACGGAAAAACCCTGCCGCTTGTGGCGATGTTTTTCCCCGTGTAGTGTGAAGATTGTAGGTAAATTTTAAGAAAATGGTGGGAAAACAATTCCCGTACATGAAAAAGTAGATATGGTAGCGCTCATCTAATGCGTCTTTTAGCAGTAATAAATATAATTCCTGATACATTTTAGCATCGAAAAAATGCTTTAACTCAAAGATGACTTGTCTAATACAGACCACTCACGTTCATCAGCAATTTGCTGCTAGAGTGTAAAAAAGAAGAAAAAGGAATGTATCACACTCGTCGACAATGTATTTGAGGAAACATGAGTTTTCATGCTGATACAGTTCTGTTCTGCTTAGTCACGAATGGAAAAAATTGGTAAATTTATTAAAATTACCATTTTCCTCCTTTAGCAAAAAGCGGAAGTTTTCCACTGTTACTTTAGTGTTTTGATTAAAGAAAAATACTTATTATTATCATTGAGAATTAAAACCATAGTTGAATTACCGGACAGTATAAATTTTTGTATTATAATTGATTAGGAATCGAGCATTTTTGAAGTAAAAAAATGCCATGGTGTAAGCCACAGTAGAACGTTTAAATAATATTTAAACATTATTTACATAAAAAATCCTCAGGATATTACATTTCCATTCCCTGCGTTAAACTCATTTCACGATCGTTAGTTATATAAAACATATATTTAGAAGGAACCTATAGCGTTAAAGATATAAAAGAAACGATCGAACATATGCAGTCAAGAAGCAATAGCGTAAAGCCGTAAACAAAGTAGTTGTCACGGGACTCCTGAATCATTTCAGTTGAACAGACGTAAATGGAACACGCGAAGACGCGGCCAACTATCCCTTGGTCTTGGACAAGGCTTTGAAATCCCGGAGGTTGAGCGAATTGTCGCCGGCCGTTAAATCAACTCTTAATCACTGATTTTGAGCGAATGCTCCGCTCGTGGATACGTTAACTTAAGATTTAAATTTCAACTGGGAGAAGACCGATTCTAGGTCCTGATTTTAACCGCATGCGTTTCATAACCTTTCACCCCTCCGGAGGGGTTGACCGCTCGCGCCACGTTTCGATCCCCGTCCAGATTTCAATACCGAGAGAATTCCCGGTAAAGTCACCTCTTGATTCCTTAGGCCGAGGCAACTCGGATATGAGCTATTGCGGTCTGTGCTCACATCCCAAGATTTAACTTGTGTTGCGAGATTAGCCTCACGTTTGCGGCAATCTGGGAGTCCTGAGAGCCAGCACCTCCGGCACCTCTGGTTAGAGGAAACCATCATAACATTACCATAGAGTGGTTGAAAAAAAAAAAAAAGACGAATTCAAAGATTTTATTGCACTCTCCACTCTCCAGATTACTTCCAAGTGCTGAGTGTTCGCTAAAGAATGCAATAACCTTTGTACAAAATCACAATCTGAAACTTCCCCTGGAGGAGCTGCACACAATCGTGTTTGCGATATTTCTTTGCATAATCCCGCTTGTAAAATTCGGAAGAAAGGGCGGCAACATAATGTAGACGTATTTCTATCAAATGGAACTAAGTGCCAAATTTTCAATTTCCAGATTTTGACGGATTTGGGTCCTCGATCAGTTAATCTACCCAAAGGTATGATTATGTCCCAAGAAAACTCATTTCATTCCGTAGGAACAGCGTAAGAAAAATCATAAAACTGGGAATGGGGGATGGCGAATTAAAGCAGACAGAGCTATGTGTGGTTCCGTTTGATTTAATGCCCTAACCTGAACACTGCGTTCTGTCAAACAGAACTATGTGCAGTTGATCAACGTACGCGCAGCGGAGCTCCGCAGAAACAGCGAATGAGAGCCGGCAACAATCAAGTTGAAACTTGCCTACATCTAGTAGCCGGAAGCAGTTGGAGATAACTGAGTGCACATAGTTCTGTCTTACAGAATGCGCTACAGCAGATTTTTAATTCAACATACAGAACTATGTGCATTTCGACCCAGATCTTGTTTAATATGAATTATTCAGAAGTTTCGGCAATACATAGAGTAAGAAGAACGTCTCAGCTTTCAAACAAGCCACAGAAATCGAAAATCGGTTCATTAATACGGAAACGCCAATGGTTTTGCAAACCTCTTTCTACTTTATGTTCTATTTCTGTAACCTACGTCAAACCTGGCACGGAAACTTCCAGCAAGAGAAGAAGCAATTTTCATTTCAAAGAACTATTTAAGACTTTTTCGTTTACGATTAACAGCCAATGCAAAGAAAACAACAGACTTCAAAGTGAACTTTTGGCTCCTACAGAGAAGAGCGTTCGAATTTTTGTCTCAGGCTATACAGGGTGTCCCAGGATTAAGTACAAATATTGAAGGAGTCCATTTTTTGGGTCAAAAGAGGACTTTTTAGTGGTATAACTTTTTTTCGAAAAATGCTTTCCGTGGGGGCCCCATTATCCCCCTAAAATCAGCACCTATTATTCCCTATCAGTCCCTATTATCTAAAAAACGATGAGTTAAAGCGAGAAAACGTAGGAGCCATTAGCTTAATATTTTTCAATGCTGAATCTTATAGTGCCGTCAAAAATCAATTTTTGTAGCTAGAAACATTAATTTTAGCCACTTTTAGATTCGGCACCCCCCCTACCTAAACCCCCCTCAAAATGAGTTATACCTTTTTTGGAGGTCAAAATTGAAAAGAACGCTAAAAATTACTCCCAGTTTTAAATTTTCATTAATATTGGTTGATAAACATTGCTGCATTGTTAAAAAGACGATTTTTTTCCTCCAATTTTGGGGAGTCGTGGCGCCCAGGAAAAGGGTATTTGGAAAAAAAATTATACCACAAGAGCGTCTTTTTTTAACCCAAAGAATAGACTCCTTCAATATTCGTATTTAATCCTGGGACACCCTGTATAATGGACCTGTTGCGAGCTTTTGCTAAGGCAAAAATAAGAGTTGTCACTCATAGAAAGTGTCTCAAAAATCTTGATGAGCGCATCGGCAGAGTCTGAAATACACTCTTTACTTCACAATTTGCATTTTTTTGAGCTTCTCGCTTCAAAAACGAAGCCAAAGCACAGGTGAACATTTTGTTAGAGGAGTAATTCCATCCAACCCCTGCTCACAAGGATACTACGCAATATTCAACATAGCCGACGCCAATCTGCCAAAACACATGTGACAGGACAATGATTTTAAACACTGATACCAATCGGTGTGTTTTATTTCACATTTATCTTGCTTGATAGATATCTGCCTTGATTGACCTCGTGCTCTCCTCAACTTGCGTGCGGAAGCGTCGGCCATGTTGAGCAGGGATTGAATGGAACGACTCCTCTAACAAAATGTTCACCTGTGCTGTAGTTTCCTTTTTAAAGCAGGAATCTTAAACAAACGCAAATTTCTTACACAGATTGTGAAGTTAGGAGTGTATTTCAGAGTTTGCCGATGCGCTTATCATGTGCTCTAGCAAAAGTTTGCAACAGGCCCATTGATTGTATTAGCAAAAAAGTTCCCTGAACATGTTCCTTAAAATGTATCCTTACAGCAGTGCACTCAAAAAACAAAAGGACAAAATCCCGACTAATTGCTATTAGTATCAATAATTTCTCCTGTCATTTTGACTGCAAATATAAATCAATAAGACTGGCACTCTTCAGTCAATATGTATATTGTTTAACCTTTAAATTGACTTACTCATTTTGATTTTCTTCAAAAACAATGCAACTCATTAAAAAATTGACTAGATGAAAGAACACATAATAGAACATATGAGGACATATATGTAACAATGGCGGTCGCTGACATCCGCCATTTTTAGAGCAAACGCTTTTTCCGAAATTTAGAGCCTCCAAGAATGCCTGTGCAAAGTTTCAGACTTCGAGCACAATTTCTCGGCAAGATATGAACTGAAAAACATGTTATTTGTAAAAACAGCGGATGTGAAAATCCACTGTTTTCCCCGGCTGGCGCGGCAGGACAATGTGAAGATTCGAACAAACTTGCGATAACTGCCCGTCCACCGGCCATGGGCTGTAGCTGACACTCAAATTATACGTATTGGGACCGTCTCGCCAGAATTGTTGAATTGTTAACTGATTTTAGAGTTTGTTCCTTGTTTTTGTTGTTAAAGTTACAAACAGTTTAGTTTCTTGTTCAATTTTGTTAAATGACTCAGCATTGACTAACTTTTGGTTCATTTCAATCGTTTCACCAGCCTTACCCTTCCTGAAAACTTTGTTTCATGCATAAAAAAGTGTTTGCAGTAAAAATAGCGGATGTCACATTTTTTTCAAATCGCTGTTACTCCTTCAATTTTTCACTTACATATATCGTAAAACGTATGTTTTTTACCAGAAGAGTTGCTCTTCATAAAAAACTTTATAAGAATCCTCTCGGTTCTACGGGCGGAAAAGTGCAAAGCTCCAGAAACTTCAAACACGAGTTTCTCACAATGTGAAAACTCGACATCCGCTATTGTTGCAGATAAGTCCCCATATGTTTAAGGAGCCTATTTTGCCCAGGTTAATGATAGAATACGGGGAATAGAATGCAATATAGAATCTAATACAGTGTGTCTCAACTGGGAGGGCAACCTGGTTCAGACACTTTGTTTTAGATTCTTCATCTTACTTTTCTAAAATCCAGTGCGTCTTGTTTGTCAGTGACGATTTCACGAAGATTGACAATGTTCCGATGGTTCAGCTGACGAAGGATTTTAATTTCTCTTACAGCTGTGATCGGAAATCCTTCTTTTTCATTTTCTAATTTGACTTTCTTCAAAGCAACAAAATCACCTACAGGAAAGAAAAAGAATTGAAATCAGAAAACATGAATACTATTCATCCGAAGTAAATCAAGTGACAGTGTAAAAAATTTCCGGCGGTCAGAGGATGGACGTTATAACATAATTATTCATCATTAAAGTTGTTGAATTTAAAATGAAAATTGCGAAGAAAATAGTGAATTTTCGTTGATTCAGTTATCATAGGAAGTGACTGAACCAGAGTTCACGGGGCAATCTAGAATAAGTGAGAGCAGCCCCAAAACTGAAATTCCAAATGCTACTTGCTTATGAAACATACCTGGTACATACATGCGCATTAAGATGAGCGATTACGAAAAAACTAAAACAGAACAGATCCTTTGTAAGATTTATATTATTTTGGTTGAAATATGGATGGTTGAAATATGAGAAATTCAATGACGTTAATGTTACGGGCATATTCCGTTTCCGGGCAGATCCAGTTTCGCCCGGGCACACTTAGGTCAGCCCGCGCGGACCTAGATGCGCTTGGGCGGAACAAGGTCTGCCCACATCCAGGTGGGCCGATCTAGGTCCGTCCGCAGAATTCTAGATGTGCCCGGGCACATCTAGGTGCGATAAAGGGAATCGGGAACATCTAAGAGCGCGCAATCTTTCGCTGGGCCGATCTGATTATCAGGTGCAGTCGGAGCTCAATACAAATAGGTGACAACTGATAACACACCAAGGGAGTACTGAGGTATGTTTGTTCACTCTGATCATTATTCAGTCAGTCAGCTATTTCGGTCGGCACTGGCGTGATACATTGGACGCGTGGCCTTAGAAAGTGTTATTTTGCTGATTTAGTTTTATTTCGCGTGTTTTTATAAAGTTTCACTTCGCGTGTTTTAGTCAGTTTTATTTCGCCGGTTTTTAGGGTTTTGGTAATTTAAGTGCAGTGTACCTAACTGAGCAATTGAAAGAAACAAGAAAACATGGGTGAAGAATGGAAAAAAGCGTTCAACGATAAATTGATCGCAAAACAGGTTGGTGGAAGTAACAACTTAATTATAGAAGAGTCGGCATACAGTAGCCTCTTGAATGAAGTTCGAGTAGCAGCATCCAAAAAAAGTAGAACAACTTAGGATCGGCGGCGGTTGAAAAAATACCAAATTTTGAAGGTCGGGGGTGTTGAAAAACTGGTTGGAAGTGGTGGGTTGGACAGCCTGAACTTGCCGGACTCTGTTGCTGCTGAAACTTCAACAGAAGCAGACATTGAGGAATTTTTAAAGCAAGAGGAGCCTGCCAGTGATACTAGCGATGAACCAGACGACCCTCCAGTCAATACGGAGGCAATAATTGACGCTGCCAGCCTCTCTACAGAACCTTCTCAGTCTGCCAGTGATGCTAGCAATGACAACGTGCTACCGTCCACCAGCACGGCACATGGCCGAGCTAAGCGCAAGGCCGTAAAAATGATAAAAATGAGCGAGAGAAAGTTTCAGCCTCTTCCGGTGGGTTCAAACGTTACAATCCCTTTCCCAGATGTAGACCGGGCGAAAGGCGACGCTCGTAATACTATTGCGGTTGTATTGGAGGTATCTGAGGATCAACTGCACACCTTTGGAACACAGCATGGGAGATTAGCAGCCCTCTACATGAGAAATCAATTCAGACCCTGTAAGGAGGAATTTTTGAAGGCTTCGGATGTGCCTGACGCAGTCATCTCTCTCAGATCTCTGAGCCGCGCCGATTCGAACTTCGGCGGTCAAGGCTTCACCAAATGTTCTTGCCGCGGCCAGTGCAATGACACCAGATGTTCGTGCAAGAAGAAAGGACTGCAGTGCAACTCAAAATGTCATAATTCGGGCCCATGCTGTAACAAGTAGAACAGTACAGAAAACATTTCCTCTCTTTCTTTTCCAATGAAATGTGGTGTTGGGTTTACTTTTTATCTCGGTTTTTTTTTTTTTTTTTTTTATTTTAATTATTTAATTTCTCCCGTTTTGGGCAGACCTAGATCCGCCCGGACGCAACTAGGTCTGCCCAATTTCAGGTGGGCAGATCTAGATCCGCTCGGGCAGATCTAGGTTGGCCCAGGCGGATCTAGATCTGCCCGTTTTCTCTGGGCAGATTTAGATCTGCCCGTTTTCTCTGGGAAGATTTAGATCTGCCCGTAACATTAACATAAAATTTAAAAATACGACTTCAGTGCCTTCAGTTATGATAGAGATATTGTCTGATATTATTAAAAAGGGGAATGCACACGGACCTGCCGCCTCCAAGTGGGCTAACTTCGTTTTCACAAACTCTTCGGACCCATTCATTAACCCAAGTCTTTCTCTTTTTACTGCATGAGCCATAAAAATGGCATAAAACATTCTCAAATGTTGAGTTTTCAGGGGTTGATTTTGCTTTACTGCGGATGGTTCTGCGCTAGCAGTCTCTTGTATTGCTTTGGCACTGTCTACGTGCTACCTGCATTTGGTGCTCAGATACCACTGAACTGCAATACCGCAAAACTGAAAATTTTGGTGAAAATGAGTTAGAGACTTTGCTGCATTCTACAGGATAAAAACGGAAGCTGATGTTCTTAGTTTTTTCACTTTCGCGTGGAAGCGCTGTAAGGAATCCATAATATGTGAAGGAAATTGCAAAACTAACCCAGAAATTAAAAAAATGGCTAAGCTCTTTCTTTGTCCTGTGAAATTGTCAGTTTGCAGATAAGCAATATTGTTTCTTGGCCATTGATATAGATTTCAGAGACACAGCACTTCAAACTTTCGAAAAAAAGTTTCTCAAATGTAGAAAATTGCCATAACCACCTTATAATAAAAAATATCACTCTATCATTCTTCATAAAAATGAATGGTGTCCCGATTAGGATTAAGGAGGAGTAACGTTTTGGGCCTTTTCCGGCCCCACCTGGATTTTGCTAAATGTTTCATATTTTCAAAGTACTAGTCTTAGGTAGACTCTGTGCCAAATATTAGACCGAACGGAGCCCATGCAAGGGCGCAGCAGCGCCTCAAACCCAAAATCCTGGAATCGAAAAACAATTATTTTCGTCGATTTTTTTTCGCATTTTTGGCGCTTCAGGACGATTATTCTCGAAAATTTGGCAACGTAGGGAAAAGGTACACATCACATTTCTATGTATTTTTTTACGTTCTTTCCGAAATTGTACACGGTTTCTAGATTAAATTAAGTTTCACACACGTAAACTTGAAAAGACCCCTAAAAATTGGTGAAAATTGGCAACAATGGACCGTTAGGCCTTCTAAAATTCACAGGAAGCCATTTTTATGGCCAGATATGAAAAGTACGTAGAAAAATACATATAGTGCACACCCATAGAGGGTGACTTAGGTCGAGAAACATTCAAAAGAGCTGCCTTCAAGTATAAAAAGGCCGCTAAAATCGACATCTCGGTGAATTTTCACATCGTGGGAATCCAGGTACAACTATGATATTTTAATATGTTGTATGGATGGATAAGAGCTGTTATCTGGTACAGTATGAAAAATGTACTCCACTTTCTTGAACCTTAGACGCGGCGATTTATCGATTTTTTGCCGTTTTTGACACTTTGGGACCAATTTTTTCGGAAATTTGGCAACATAGGAAAAAATTTTACTGAACATTTTTTATTCATTTTTTTACGTACTTTTCAAAAATGTACAAAGTTTTTGGATTAAATTGAGTTTTGAATGTGTTAAATGGAAAAAACCCCTTAAAATGGGCCAAAAATGGCAACAATAGGCCATAAGGCCCCTTAAAATTTATCGGAGGCCTTTAAAAAGGCCAGAAACGAAAAGTACGCAAAAAAATACATAAGAATCATGTGCTGAAAGAGTGATAACAGTCGAAAAAGTCGACGAAAACAATTGTTTTTCGATTCCAGGATTTTGGGTTTGAGGCGCTGCTGCGCCCTTGCATGGGCTCCGTTCGGTCTAATATTTGGCACAGAGTCTACCTAAGACTAGTACTTTGAAAATATGAAACATTTAGCAAAATCCAGGTGGGGCCGGAAAAGGCCCAAAACGTTACTCCTCCTTTGCCCTCATTTCTCAGAAGATATTAATAGATGACTTCAACATGAACATTAAAGGGGAAAAATGAAAAATTTCACAAACCTGCTTGTCTGTCTCTCGCTTTGTACACTTGACCATACATTCCTTCACCAATTTGTGCTATCATCTCAAACACATCAACACACCTCTCTCCCCAATCTTTATTGGTCCCTTCGAAAGGTGGATAAATATTTCTCGAGGGGCGTCTCTTGTGAACTATTTTCGGCCGCTTCAATTTCGCAGTTCCACAATAAGCCATGCTCATTGAAGTTTTAGCATAGCCGGCATTGCTTCCAAGGGTTACAGAACGATCAAGATTTCTTGTTTCTGATGATGGAGGAGTGACTGGACCATCATCATCAGAACTTACAACTTCTAGTCCTGGTAAATCTGTAAAATAAAGGCAAACAAAACGAATGAAATGCACAAGGTGGCTCACACCATACATTATACCTTGATTCTCTTCTGAACTCAGATTTTGAGAAGCTCCTTTGGCCTTCCTTGATGATATTAGCTCACATTTAAGTGGCCAGTTCAAAAGATGTAGGGGAAAGCCCATTGCAGGGCTTTACCTGTTTTCGTCAGGTATGGGTGAAAACCGAAGCTCCTTTGGCCTTCCTTGATGATATTAGCTCACATTTAAGTGGCCAGTTCAAAAGATGTAGGGGAAAGCCCATTGCAGGGCTTTACCTGTTTTCGTCAGGTATGGGTGAAAACCTATCAGCTAAGATGCTAATGAATCCATCTCAGTCATTGTGACCAATACCTGATAAGCAAGGTACTCCACTGATGAGATGCTCACGAGTACAGTTGAAGTCTACGGACGGAATCAGGGTAGCAATGGATTAAGACACATCACACACTAACAGGCAAGGAAGCAAGCCACAGCGGATGGTCATTTTTGACTTATCTCAAATAAATTATGTGTCAGTGATAGTGATCCAGCCAAAAAGAAAAAGAGCTTAATTTGTAGAAAAAAGGGAGAAAGACACTCTAAGAAAGTAAGCCAAACAAAATCGAAGGTGAAGGCAGTGCTGATTGTTTCTTTAGTTACTGTTGGAGCAGTCTGTTAATTGCTATGCTCTAGATCCTCATCACGTGTGTTGATAACCCCCCTGATGTAGCAGATGCTCTTTTACCTTTCTGCAGATGCGGTAACAACATTGCTTAATGGAACAATGGGAAGTACTCATCATACTGATGAGTGCAAAGTTATTCATATCCTTTGTTTTTCTGCCCTAATAAGGCTGATATTTTTCTTGATCAGTTACACTTTAGAGGATGTCCAAAGTTGAATACAAAAAAAAAAACCAGGGCATACATTTCAGGTAAAAATGATGAATTTTCCTTCATAAGCTGATAAAAGCTTTAAAAACACCTCCCCTCCCCAATACAATTATTTTGATCTTTGGTAAAAAAAAAAAAAAAAAAAAAAGCTTTGATCCACCATAATTGCCATACTATTTATTGAAAAGGTCAGTTTGAGTGGTTAACGGAGGAATTTAGGGGGTGCTTATAAAATAATTTATTGCACTTTTTCTGAATGGACTTAAGGCTAGCAAATTTAGTCAATCTTTATTACAAAATTCTTAGCCATACCTGGGGAAAGCTAATATTTACAGCAAGGGCTATTTGAGGATCAAAACCCAAGCAGAAAAGTGAGCATTTTAACACGCTTTTTATGGTATAGACATTGCAGCGCTACCAGATCGACGATCAAGGAGAACCATTTTTGGGTGCTTTCAGATTCTAGAATAAGATTTTAAAAATGTTGAACTCATTACAGATACATTACAGACATTTTAAAATCTGATTTATCTTCTATAGCTCCCCTTTCATGTAACCGAACATTTTTAAAATTAAATTTGGAGAGGGAAATGAATTTTGGAAATTTGAGTTGACTGCTCAAACGTTCCTTCAAAGTAGGGGGTACGACAGTTTAGGCAGCTCAAATTATTTTTTTTTTTTTTTCAAACTTTGAAAAATCGCAACTGAAAGAGGGGCATTCCTCAGCTAGCTCCTCAACAGAAAACTGAAAAAATAAAATGATGTCTTGTAACTCTATGAAATCTCTGAATGTGGGAATCAGACTGTGACATCAGAATATTACAAAAGAGGTTGTTCCAAAAACGCCGATTTTGGCCCCCCCTGGATTTGGCCCAAACCTTGCTCCGATGTTGTACTAACAAGGGGAGCTTCCCAAGTGTAACCGGAATTTCGAGTTGAAATTTCGCATGAAGATACTAGAGATGAAATTAGGGGACCCGTATTTTTTCGTTTTTTCGAATGGGGCCGGGAAAGCCCTCAAAAATAACTCGAAAGATGCGTAAAAAACGCGTGCGCCATGCGAGCGGAGCCCCCTGTGCGGGCGGCTTCCAGCGGCACAAGGTAAAGATAGGTGACAGAAGCACCGTCTCCTATCAGCATCGCATGGCCGAGTGGCAGCGCGCTCGCCTCACGGACGGGAGACTCCAGGTTCGAACCTCGCTTCCGGCTCGTAATTTTTATTTTACTTTATGCTTGTTTATTTTTCACTTACTTTTTTTTTTGCACCATTCTCTCCGCCACCCGACTTACGAGGTAGACGACGTGACTGAAGATATTTTACATATGCTGATAGAAAATCGAAGTTTCTGTTGGATCGAAATGTTCTATGTAATTGAAGAAACAAAACACTTTAAAACTCACCAAATTTCGTTGCCAAGCTGAATTTTCAAAGTAT